GCGTACCGTTGATAGCCGAAAGTTAAACACAAGTGGATGGAGAGAGTTGGAGAGCTTACTTGAAACACAAACCTGCTGCAGTGACCGCAGCCCGATGGAACGTAGCTCTCCGTCGCGGATCCACAGTAGCCAACACAAAAACCTAGGCAGGCGGGCAAGCAGTGGAACAGGCTAAGACAAAAGAGAAGCAGGCAAAACGTGGATCCTTAAAACATACAGCTCCACAGCGTAGAATCAACAGATTCAGCTTGTGCTAACACGTTACCACTTGTGACAGCGACAATACTCCGACACCAGACGTCCGTGACTCAGCTCCCTAATAGTGATGGGTCGTTCGCGAACGAAATGGCTCTTAGAGCCGCCTCTTTGACGTGAACGACGCGAGCCAGCTCGTTATCGCGAGCCGTCATGTGGGTTTTTTTTTTTCTTTCTCTCACCCTCTCTCTCTCTCTCACACTTTTTTTCCGCTTCACTTCGCACCTGAGCCTTGTGCTTTATGCTGGGAAGAGGGGGAGGGGCGGTAGTTACACTCAGTAGCACAGGAACAGAGCCAGAGGGAGAGAGAGAGAAAGAGAGCCAGGGACAACAATGTCACATTAGAAAGGTATAGTGATCATCCACAACTATTTTCAGTTGCAGATGATAAAGGATTCAGAAAGTTTATTTATGCGGGCCCATATGACAGAGAATATGCATCTTCTTTATGTTTTCATATTATAATTTATATTTAATTGTGTTGTGGTTTGCAGTGTTTTGTGTTGTTTTCACTTTAAATTTGTAAAAGGAAAAAGCTGAAAATTTAAATAGTTAAAAGTTGAAATGTGAATAGTTGATTTTTGTATTATATGATTTATTTATTACATTTTATGTGGAGTGAAAAAATAAAAGTATATTTACGGTGGCCCCTACAGACAAAGCACATATAAACTTCAAATCACGTACGAACTCTGAAGCACGTACAAACTCCAAAACACGTAAAAACACGTACAAACTCCAAAACACGTACAAACTCCAAAACACGTACAAACTCCAAAACACGTAAAAAAAACTCAGAAGCACATAAAAACTCAAAACACGTACAAAAGACAACAGAAGTGCTCCAGGATGCTGGGCGCAGTGTTAAGCTTTTGTTACCTAGTGGCTACACAAGCCAGCAAGTACCAACGACCGGATTTGGTGTGTGGTAGTAACAGGTAAATGAACTTTTTTTTAAAATTATTTGAATATATATGAGTGCCTGTGTATAAATACACAAACAATACACACATGCTTTCAATTGTGTAATTTAAGTGATCTAGTAGCTCTGCTTTGGAAGTTCAGTTCATGCTAGAAATGTGTTTTGGAGTTTGTACGTATTTTGTCTCTAGGGGCCACCGCATATATTTATATATAAACATATATAAATAGAACCACTTTTTTTTACGTTAGTAATTCCTTTTGTGCATAATTTTATATTATTGTTAATAATAAATTAATTAAAGCAACAAAACAACCTGAAGAGCCGGTTCGGAGCCGAAAGAGCCGGCTCTTTTTAGTGAGCCGAACCGAAAGAGCCGGATCTCTAAAAAGAGCCGGAAATCCCATCACTACTCCCTAAAAGCGCTCACTGATGACGTCCGATGCGCCGCAGGTGTGCCGGAATGCCATCAAGCCCCGCCTCGCCTACCTATACCAAAAAGGAAAACAAAACCCAAACAACAACAATACACCTACCCACCACCTCCTAACAGTGATAAGTGATAGCCTCCGTAATTTCTTTGTGCCTGTGGGAGTTCGACGGGTATAGGGAAGCGCTGTATAAGGTTCCCGTTATTGATGTTTGGGTGGTTGACCGGGACGGATTTTCTCCTGTCACTTTCTCGTCATCCCTGACGTGCTCTCCGTTGTTTTTTCCCTGCTAATTTTAGCATCACACGGCACAGCTTCTGTATCACGTGGTATAAGGCTCCGCCCTTGTCATTTGTTGAGCAGGAAGAGTGAGCGCTTGTTTTCATGCAGATTATGTCCCGGATCAAAATGCGGTACAATCGTCGTCGTCTTTTTTTTTAATTTTGTTTTTTTAAATCGTTGTCATTTGGAAATGAGATCGCGATTTTCTAACGATTAATCGTGCAGCCCTAAACACCATCATAAAATATATGGCTCTTGAAGTAACAGCCTTATGACCCACATTAAAGTACAGTAGTAAAGGCCTATTTAACACCACAAACAGTTTACACGAGACAATTTTATTTCTGATATGAATGTTATTTATTTTAACTGTCATAAACAGGATGTGACGAGTGACATTAGTAACAACTGTACTGCATTAAAACACAGCAGCAGGTGGGATATCCAATCTTTAAGTGATGACCTGGTGAAACCTGCTTCTGGGTCCAAACGACTCTGAGTTTATTAAGGCTGTTGTGTTTTTAACATGTTTTAATGCTTTGAATCTTCTTCCATTTAATCTGAACAAGCCCCTAAAAGAAGTCAGTGATCACTGTCGGCCTCTCTCGGTTGTTATCACCACTGTTCATTTTAAAGCTCAGTTTTAAAAACCTTAGGATGTAACTACAGCCCAGCCCATGCAGCAGTATATGAATGACTGACCTCGTATTGTGGATGGATTATCTCAGTGGTTCTCCTGACTGAAGTTTGGTCCTTTTACAGCATCCTGCCATGCGATTACATTTGTCACTAACCATCATTGAACATAATCACAATCATACTGAAGTTCCACCTTAATACAAAGATCATCCTCTGACTGAATGAAAGAGAAGAAGAGGTGTAGCGTTCACAACAACATCTGGATTTTTAAGGAGATTTTGAGATAATATTTTATTTTAAACTTCTCTTGATTTTTCACTTTTCTCCTTAAATCAGACTCACAATCTGATTGCAATTCTTTGCCAAAGTTTACAGCGACCATAACAGATGAAGTCAGAGGATGATTAGTGGCAGAAACGGGCTTCCAACTTATCCCATTAAGTCACCAGCTGACACTAACAGAAAAAAGATATAAACACATTTCATCTTTAAAATGACTCGACAACAGCAGTCTGTACCTGGAGAGGATGACATGTGGCTGTCTGATCACAACCAATACAAACCTCAGTCAAACGTCACCTTTGAACTAAAACTAAAACAAACAACTTTTTCTTTTCAGATTTTCAGATTTTTCTTGTAACATATAAACAAACTGAAAGCTCTGTGATTTTATGAAAAATGCATCCTCATGGAGTTTGGAGTTTGCATGTTCTCCACATGTTTGTGTGGGTTCTCTCCGAGTACTCTGCTTTCCTCCCACAGTCCAAAGACACACAGTGAGTGTGGCTGGGTTATTGGATCTTTCTAAATCTCCATAGGTGTGAATTAGGGCTGGGTATCGTCACTGATTTCTAGAATCGATTCAATTCCGATTCACAAGGTCCCGAATCGATTCAATCCACGATTCGATTTAATTCGATTCGATTTAAATCTGGGAAATTTTGACAGTCAGAAATATTATAATTCAGATCAGTACATTTACATATTTTTGTATCTATAAAAAGGAAGCTGACACACGCAAGACTTTATCAAAGGTGTGAGCATCACAGCAGATGCCTTTGTGTCAAAGTAGCTGAAGATAAAACACAGAAAAACATGAAGGTTATTTTCCTGGCCTGGGATTTTATAAAAATATTCTGCAGTACATCAAAAACGAAAGAAAACCATTAATCAACATATGAACATTACCTCTGACGTTACAGCGGTTTTAGTAGAGACACGGTTAAGCGTTTTGCATTTTGAATAATTTTAAAAAGTTTAAATTTGTTCAGTATTGAACAGTAGAAATTAGGTTTTCTTTTCGGAAGAATGTAAAAGGGAAAAAAACAGCGGCTGACAGCGCTGTAAGCAACAGTAGACTTGTGCGTAACAAGCAAGCGAATAATGAAGAAAGGGAAACTGTTCTTGAAGTACAGAGAGAGAGAGAGGGAGAGAGAGAGAGAGAGAGAGAGGGAGAGGGGGAGAGAGAGAGAGAGAGAGAGCTGCGCATCGCGATGGAAGCAAAACAGTAAAAGTGAATTCATGACGATGTTTATGTGAAGCGTTTGGATCTTCTTTTGCTGCTGGTTCGGTCAATATTGTTTGGAGAGACATCAAACTAACAGCTTTAGAATCGGCTCATAAAGGGCGTGAACACAAAGCGCGGACCCGCCCACAGATCAGAATCAGCGAGCTGTCGGCTTTCAGCCCCGACTGTGAGAAAGGCGACATCTAACTGATTCTGATCCGCGGGTCGCGCTGTGTGTTTAAGTCTATGTGCAGAATCCCTGTACCTGCTCTCATTTACTGTCTTAACTGTTTGGTGGTTGTTGAAATTTTGTGAGATGTCACCAGAGATTCGGGCATTTCGGGCAAAAATAAATAAATCTAAATAAATTTATATTAAAAAATCGATTCAGGATTTTAATGAATCGATTTTACGTTATCAAAGCCAGAATCGATTTTAATCGATGAATCGATTATAAAAACCCACCCCTAGTGTGAATGGTTGTCTCTCTTTCTGTTTTTTACTGAGACTGCTGACCTGTCCATGGTCCACACTACGATAGCTGAGATAGACTCCAGCTCCCCACGACTCTGAACTGGATAAGTGGAAGAGAATAGATGGATGGATGTTCAGTACCAGTGCACATTTTGAGCTATGAGCATGTTTGTTGCCAAATGCAGTGATCTGGCTGCCAAAAAATGTGGACTCTAAACTCAGAGTGAACTGATGCAGAGTTCAGGTTTAGACTCACACACAGCTGATTCATGTTTCTGTCTCTGTGTCCTCAGTTTCCCAGCATGCCTCGGCTCTGGAGGTGTATGAGGGGGTGGAGTCTGTCCTGCTGACCTGTCAGGACTCTTCTGTACCTGCACGTCCCACTCTGGTGTGGAGCCGCCACGACTTCAGTCCTCCAATCGTCCACAAGCGTAATGATGCAGGAGATGAACTGAGAAACCAAAACCAGCGTTACAGGAAAAGAACGTCCATGAAGACAGACTCTCTGAGGACTGGAGACTTCAGCCTCACTCTGAGGAACCCCATCACCTCTGACAGTGGCACCTACACCTGCACCATCACTGCATTTGGAAACACACGGACACTGACAGAAGTAGATCTGCAGGTCAAAGGTCAGCAACACACCCAACACACCAAGAAAGACTGTTGACCGTTTAACCTTTGTTGTAGCTGTTTACACAGATGTTCAGGCTCAGCTATCATCAGCCTGTGTGAACAGCTTCAGTCTTCATCGAGGACAAACCTCCACTCTGCTGCTCATCTACAGACTGAGTTCAGCCTCACTGTTCATAAATGAATGAATGAAGCTTTATTTGTCACAAGCAGGTTGCCCTGCAGCGAGATGGGAACCCCCCCCGACCTTACACACATAACACAGACATCACATTGGGTTACAAGTCGGAGATCGGTAGCGTTGCAGAAAAACACTGAAATGTACACAACAACGGGAAGGTACAAGAGGAAAAAAAGAGACCTCCACTCATGCTGTGCTTCCATGATAGGACAGCACGAGAACAGGAAACAAAAAAAACTCCTCTGCACAAAAGCACATAAATGTCCACAGCACAACATTATGGAAGACATGACAAGCCACAGGGATGGGTAGGGGATGTGGAGTAACCCCAGCCACACAGCAGCCATCCTGCAACGGCGCCGTCATTAAGCCGGGGGCGACGTAATACATCGGCCCGCTCTTCGACAGCGTGGGCCCGGACCCGTCTCATGTTCCCAGGGGGCAGCAAGCATTGAAGGCGTTGGAAAGGGAGGGGGGATGAGTGAGTGCCTATCAGTGTAAGTGTATATGTGTGCGTGTCCATAGTTCAGCTGAGACAGTGTCCTTCGGCCTATCAGGCTAAGTAAACAGTCCTCCAGCCAATCCAGGTGTCCTTTCATGGGATGGGAAGAATAGCCGTAACACAGTCGTTATCAGGGAGTGATTGTTCGGCTCCAGCCTTGGGCCTGCAGCTGGCGCCGTGATGGGGGTCCGCAATGTTCATGTTGATTTTGTAAATTTCCATGCGAGCAGCCCAGGAGAATTTTCAGGCTGCCCTAACACTCCGACACTGGTCTCTCGATCTCCCGTTGGAGAGTCGCGAGCCTCCTCATGATGGTATCAAACTTCTGTTCCATGGTGTTGTCATTCTTTTGATTCTGAGACCTCACAACTGCAGTGATCCGTTCCGCGATGTTTTCCAACTGTCGCTCAAGGTCTCATTTTGAGCAGGCCTCTCTCTGATGTTTCCCCTCATACGCTCAACGGTGTTGTTTTGAGCCTTCACAGCAGCTGTAAGCGTCTCCAAGGTGTTGACCATATTACGTTCGTTGTGAGAGGTCGCGCCTCGTCCCGTCGCTTCGATTCCAGCGGGCAGCCTTGTGGGGGTTTGAATAGCCGGTTCCGCTCTCTTATTTCTCTGATAAACCAGGGCTAAGCCAACGCCGATCAGCATGAACCCTGTTATCATGGTTCCGAATAGGTAGATATCTTCAGCGTCCTCGATCGACAGTCCCGCCAGGCACACGGTCCTCCAGTTCTGCCACCCGTCCATCGTGTATCCGGCAGGGAAAGTCCCTCCAGGGCACTCAGGCTCTCCCGAGCCCAGACTTCTCGTTGAGAAAAAAATGTCCTCACATTCATAAGAACTAAAGCAGGAGGTCCAAACAGCTTCAGGTGTGAGCAGCACAGAAAGGTCTGACTTAGAGAGACTCCAAAGACAGCAACAGGAAACAGACGATTATCAGACGTTAGAGACTCTAACCCAACATCCAAACTGTTAACATCAGGTTCTGACGCTGTGGCCATCAAAACTGATCATACTCTCTATTCTATTCTACTCTACTCTACTTTATTCTCTTCTATTCTCTTTTATTCTGTTATATTCTGTTCTATTTGGGGTTTTTTCTGTTATGATCTTTAGTGTTGAATTGTGTTCTGTTGTATTATGTTGTGTTCTATTTTCTTCTTTTCTCCTCTATTCTGCTCTTTAAATGTAAATTTTAGTTTTCAGTTGTGAAATCAGATATTAAATCTGTATATGAAGGAAATTTGTTTTTTTTTCATATTGTGAAGTATCCAGTAAATAAGCTGAGGTACCTCATCGAGAAATGACTGCAGGATAAACAGGTTAACTCACCTTTCTGTGATTAGTTTACAGTAAAGAACAGTGTGTGACTGCTGCACAGCAGCTGTGCTGTTCAGGGTCAGAGTTCACTCACATCAAGTGTAGCAGAGATGACACTTCGATTCATTCACTGGATTCAACCTTTATACCAACTGCCAACCATCTAGTATAAAGACATCATCAATACAGTTTACTGTATGCAGAAAAAGTTTCTCATGTACCAATCAAAGAGCTACTTTGAGTACATGTCAGAGCCTGTACTGTAGAAGTTAAATCAGTACTTCAACTTTTACTGGAGTATTCTTAACACACGTATCTGTACTTTGACTTAAGTACAGACTGTCTGTCCTTTTGCCGTCTCTGCACACAGCTGATTCATGTGTCTCTGTGTCCTCACAGTGTCCCACCAAGTCTTCACCCTGGAGGTGTACGAGGGGGCGGAGTCAGTCCCGCTGCCCTGTCACATCCCGTTTGTATCTGGACCCTCCACAGTGGTGTGGAGCCGCTACGACCTCAATCCTCCAACCGTCCACCAGCGTCAGCAGGAAGAGGACGAGCGGACAGATCAAAACCAGCGTTACAGAGACCGAACATCCATGAAGACTGACGCTCTGCAGACTGGAGACTTCAGCCTCACTCTGAGGAAACCCCACATCTTTGACAGCAGCAACTACACCTGCACCATCAGAGTGACGGGAGAAGAACCCAGACTGACAGATGTTCAGCTGCAGGTCAAAGGTCAGCAGCACACACCAAATCCTAGTTTTTACCATGAGGTTTTCCTGAAGCTGAAGTTACAGCTCATGTTTTCAGTTAGCTTTTAAAAATCTCTTTTCCTCCTTTTAAGACATTTTGTTTTGATTATGATGTAAACAGTGAAAGGATTTTCAGGGTTAACAAACTTTTAGTGAGGGTGCTGAAAGATAAAGCAAAGATGATCTATAAGAAACCAAGAGTTAGATATAGAAGAAGAACTGGTAACTAAATCAGAGGTGTGTAGAAATGAAACAGTGATAATTATCACAGCGTTCAGAGAGGGAAAGGACAGATTACTGGAGGTGAGCAGGCAGGATGGAGGTGGAGAGCGGGCAGGCAGGTGGACGAGGAGGCCAGGTGAGTAAATCCAGGAAGCTTGAGATATGCAGGAGCAGCACTTCTGAGAGACCAAACAGGAGTTATGTGGGACTGTAGGAGTGAGGTTAGGAGGCAACAGAATAACAGGATTATTACTCGAAGCCGGATAACTGAAAGGAAAACACAAGAGATCTTACATTGTGATGGTTTATGATTATGATCCTACTATGATATCCACAACTTGATTTTTCAAGGTAAAGTTTTTGTTGTGTGCCTAGTAGCTGGAGTACAACAACATCTGATCTGTGGGTATCATCTATATCACCCCTGCCTCTCTGAGTGAAAGGGTTTTCTCTAAAACTGAAGAGGTTATCACCAAAAACCATCTGAGTCGAGCAGAGTGGAAAAATATTTCTTAATAAAAATGATTAATGCCACCATCACCCAGTATATTTGAGCACAGTCACTGCCCATCATTTGAAAACACTGCAACAGCTTTAACATAAACATGTGGTTATGTTAAAGCAGTACACACCTCCACAAGGGTGTGCACTGAGCCCTCTCCTGTACTCACTCTACACCTACGACTGCACAGCCACTAACAACTCCAACATCATTGTGAAGTTTGCGGACGACACTACAGTGGTGGGTCTTATCACCAACGGTGATGAGACGGCTTACAGGGAGGAGGTCAGCGCCCTGACCCACTGGTGTCAAGACAACCATCTCACCCTCAACATTGCAAAGACAAAGGAGTTGATAGTGGACTTCTGGAGGTGCAGAGAAGTACACACCCCCATCACCATCAACGGCGCTGCTGTAAAGAGAGTGAGCAGCTTCTGCTTCCTTGGAGTACATCTGGCTGAGGATCTTACGTGGTCAGTACACACAAACAAAACAGTGAAGAAGGCGCAGCAGCGCCTTCTTCACTTCTTCAGCCTCTTCTTTCTCAGGAGACTGAAAAGATTTGGCATGAGCCCCCGCATCCTCAGGACCTTCTATCGCTGTGCCATTGAGAGCATCCTCACTGGATGCATCATCACCTGGTACGGCAACAGCACCGCTTACAACTGCAAAGCTCTCCGGAGAGTAGTGCGGTGTTCTGAACGGATAATTGGAGGTGAGCTTCCCTCCCTCCAAGACATCTACAGGAAGCGCTGCCTGAGGAAAGCAGGGAGGACCATCAAGGACTCCAGTCACCCCAGCCATAAACTGTTCAGACTGCTTCCATCAGGAAGGAGGTTCTGCAGCATCCGGTCCCGTACCAGCAGACTGAGAGACAGCTTCTTCCACCAGGCCATCAGACTGCTGAACACGTCATAGACACCTCAGCTTCACTACTGGAACTTTAACATTATGCACTCCATACTGTACAGTAATGCCACTGTTTTGCACATATCCAACTACCAACCTCTGTATATTTTTATATATTTTATTTTATTGTTTACTCTATTTAATTTGTAAAATACACACACACACACACACACGTAGAAAAATATTTAGTACACACATCCAGTGATGCATATACTATTATATATTGTACATATATTTATTAGTTTCAGATGTAGCCATTCTTGTATTTTGCTTGTTTACGTTATTGTATTTTTGCACAACTCTGTTGCTTGTGAAGCTCGCACACAAGAATTTCACTCACATGTGCTGTACCAATGTACCTGCACATGTGATGTGACAATAAAAGTGATTTGATTTGATTTTTGCTGGATTTGACTGAAATCATACTGACTGAAGTTTTTTTGACATTGATGGAATTTTATGTCTTAGACTCACACATTAATCAGTAACAGATTAGATGAATTAATCAGTCACAGCTGTGAGAAGCAAACCCCGGCCACAGTAGCTCCGCCCAGAGGTACACCTGCTAACTGTAGGGAAATAAAAAAGAGGAAAACAAACAGAAACCCAGCCACACCCTCCCATTATAGAGCGACTAGAACAAGAGTTATTCAGACTGATGTGTTCAGTGTGCTCTGATGTTTGGGTGGAGGTATTTTCTGACTGATTTTATTCTTTAACCAGTGAAACTCTGCAATGAGCAGCAGACCTGATACAGCTCAGACTGGTTCACAATAATCGTGTCCATGTAAACCTCCTTCTGTTCTTGTTCTCACAGAGCCGTACACTTTCCCAGCTGAGGCCTGGGTGATCCTGGCTGTCCTGGCCATCGCTGCCATTGTGGGTCTTGGAGTGTATTTATGGAAACTCCTCTACAGAGGTGTGTGTGTGTGTGTCTGTGTGTGTGTGTGTGTTTTTGTGTGTGTCTTAAAATAAATAAAGTCTCTGACAGTGTTCTACTTCATTTCTGAGGTTTTTCCAGTGACCTCTGTGATAATAATCAGCTAGTTTAGGTTGATGTGTTCAGTGGAGGCTGCTATCAGCCCTATACCATCAAAATAATTGTATAATTCTCCTGCTTGTAAGTCAGAGTTATGATATGGTAATGTGACATGGTATTTACAACAGAACAATAACAAAATAAGCAGCCTTCTGTTTAAAATGTTGTTTTAATGGTAAGAGTTCCTCCCTGGAAGCTCTTGGTGTCATTTCCACATTTATAAACTCCCTATCTAAGCTCATAGTACATCTTCCATCCATCCGTCCATCCGTCCGTCCGTCCATCCATCCATCCATCCATCCATCCATCCATCCATCCATCCATCCACCCATCCATCCATCCATCCATCCGTCCATCCATCCATCTCTTGGTGGTGGCAGCAGTCTAAGTATAGAAGCCCAGATCTCCCACAGCCGCCTCCAGCTGCTCATCCAGGTTTAAGCTGAGGTGTTCGCAGCCCAGCTGAGAGATGTAATTTCTCCAGGTCTGCCACAGGGTAGCAGGTAGGACATCCCCAGCACACTTCACCCGGCAGGCATCCACCTCAGCTGGCTCCAACATCTTTGTTTTCATGGTCAGCTCTCTCTTCATCATGATGGACCGATGCAGAGTCCGCATTACTGCAGAGCCCCAATCCATCGGTCATCCCCTCTCAGATGTGATGAAGCCAATAGAACCACTTTTTCCTCAAAAACCAGACGAGATCCTGAGGCCACCAAAGTGAAAGAAAAGTTATGAACAGGCAGCCCCGGCAAAGTTCATCACCCACCAGGAACAACTCCGACTTATTGCCAGCGATGTGGACCAACCTCTCACTGTGGTTGTACAGGGATTGAGTGGTTTGCAGCACTGGGCAATATTCCCGAAGCACCCCCACAGGATCTCTACGGAAAACCCCCAAGTTGACAAGATACAACACACCCACCCCTGCCCACTGCCTGAGGGCAAGTCCAGTGTGAAAAGAGCCCCTCTCCAGTAAACTGGTTCCACAGCCCAAGGTATGTGTTCAGATGAGACTGATTATATCTAGTCAGCATCTCCCAACCTCAGGCATTAGCTCAGGCTCTTTCCCCACCAGAGAGGCGACGTTCATGCCACAAGAGTCGGCCTGAGTAGTCAATTAATGGATCGCCACCTGATCCCTATGGCATCTCTGACGGGTGGTGAGCCTACAGGAGGACAAGCTCATATTGTGTCACCAGGTGTTCTCCCTTTAAGTACTTCTCCAGTCCTGGCTCCAGGGTGCTGCCCTGGTGAACTTATCCCAGGCAGGGTAAACTGATCCCTTGGTTTTTTGTCCTTCTTAGGGGTCTAGCACATTTGCATAAACTTACTTTTCTACAAACACTAAAATCCCAGTTAGAGATTAGTTTGTTATTTTGTGTACATCTTCAGTCAGTTGTGAATGATAAAGCAGAATCACAGTAAGAAAGATGTAGGCTACAGATTTAATCCTGACCTGATAATAACTCAGTGATGTACTCACTGTCTCCATCTTTACTGTCTCATCCATATTTGTATATATTTTATCCCTGTCAGGTTACAGATGAATGAGTAGGTTTTAAAATAAAATGTAAAATTAGAATTCCTGCTTCATGTAAAATAATTCAAATGTCTTTCCAGTGAGAAATAACAAAGACATCGTGGTGCACATTGGTGAAAATACCCAAATTCAGAATTTGATGGTTGCAACATACTCACCAAATGTTGGGGCAGAGGCATATTTACCATTGTGTTAGATCACCTTTGCTTTTAATGACAGTTTGTAATCACTTGATGATGATGCAGCCCACCCATGGATATACATACATACCATCAAAGCTCCTGGGCGTTTATAACAATCTGGATGTTTCTTTCAATCAGAGAACCAGGCTTAAACGTGGACTCATCTGACCACACACATGGTTTAACAGTCATTTGGTCCACTTGAGATGAGCTTGGGTTCAGTTTTTCTGCATAGAGTCGATGTATGGCTTCCTCTTTATGTCACTTTATACAATTAAGGAGAGAAAATTGTTCCATTTCAATTTGTAACATTTTTAACTCTGCTGCTGCTGCTGTCCGTACAGCTCATGTTGTGCTTTGTTGTCCTCTCAGTCCCCCCGTGGAGGTGGATTCAGGGGTGGAGTCTGTCCAGCTGCCCTGCAAAACCACACTTCACCTGCCTGAAGACGCTAAAGTGGAGTGGAAGGACGGTGGTTATAAAAAGGTCCACGTGTATAAGAACGGCTCTGACCAGCCTGAAGAACAGCACCATGATTACAGAGACCGAACGAAGATGAATGAAGACCTGCTGAAAACTGGAGACCTCAGTCTGACCCTGAAACAGCCCACAGATGGAGAAGGAGGCATCTACACCTGCACCGTCTACAGCAGGGAGAGAAAGATCCTGATGAAGAAGGAAGTGGTGCTACAGGTCAGAGGTCAGTGATTAACAACTAAGTGGAAACGTTCATCAGCTTAAAAAAGATATTTACATTTTTAAACTGAAGAAGCATTGGTAGAAACTTCCAACATTTTTTAAGAACTCAGCCCAACTTAAAATGTACAAACTGAACCTGCTCAATAGTGCACAAGTTCTTCAATTACAATAGATTTACACTGAGTGCCGACACTAAATACAGTCATAGTGTAGAATGGTACTTTTTGCAGTCATATGCATTATGTGGTTGGATAATTACAGCTGTTAAGAATTTTAAATACAGTGGAACCCCGACTTACAAAATTAATTCGTTCCCGAGGGTCTTTCGTAAGTCGAAGCACCCATCGCGCCTTTTGAGTGAATGATAGGCTATAGGCTAATTGCTAACTGCAACAACAATACGTCGTTCAAGTGGAACAGCGAAGCGCAAGTACGAAAGCCAAGGGGTTGTCACATGATTCGGAAGGCATTGTGGGCATTGTAGGCTCAGCCAATCAGAGACAGCGGATTTCGTTACTCGGGCATTTTGCCGTAACACAGGCAGAAATATTTTCGTTCAGTGCCTTTGTAACTTGAATTTTTCGTTAAATGAGGTATTCGTAAGTCGGGGTTCCACTGTACTTATATAATTTTAAAATACTGGTATAAAGTAGGGTAGAGTAGAAATGCTAAATGGACTGGTTCTTATATCGCGCTTTTCTTAACTAACCATCCACACACATTTATACTGGATGCATCGCAGAACAACATTGGGTTAGTACCGTGCCCAAGGATAGTAGGTATGCATACTGGAGCAGACTGGGATCAAACCACCAACCTTCCAGTTAGTAGGTGACCTGCTCTACCATCTGTGCCACCTCTGCATTAAAGTTATTAAAGTATGAATAGATTAAACATGTACTCAAGTACATGTACTCCTCGTGGTCCTTTTCATGATGTCGTCCAGTGACATTGATGGTGGTGGGTGGGGGCACCACAAAGTTTTTTTTTACATTCTCCTCCTACACAAACTCTCCTCTCTGTCTCTCAGTCCGTCAGGTGGAGGTGGATTCAGGGGTGGAGTCTGTCCAGCTGCCCTTCACCAAAGTTCACCTGCCTAAAGATGCTAAAGTGGAGTGGAAGGACATGAAAAACAGGAAGGTCCACGTGTATGAGAACGGCTCTGACTGGCCTGAAGAACAGCACCAGGATTACAGAGGCCGAACAGCAATGAAGCAAAACCTGCTGAAAACTGGAGACCTCAGTCTGACCCTGAAATACCCCACAGATGGAGACAACTCCACCTACACCTGCACCATCTACAACAAGAAGAAGAAGATCCTGATGAAGAAAGAAGTGAGGCTGAAAGTCAGAGGTCAGTGCTGTAGATACAGGTCAAAGGTCAGAGGTCAGTGCTGTAGATACTGCTGTTTTGTTCTGTTGCTGTTTTCCAACCAAATTAGCAAGAACTTCTCTCAGCAGCTTTTGAGGAAGCTAAAAGGTTCCTTCAAACTTTTTTTGTTTTCTGACCTGAAAAGATCATTCAGGTTATTCTGCTGAGTTACCCAGCTAGTGGGCCGCCTCAGAGACTCACACGATCGACAGTCTACAGTTCCCTGTGGGCCCCACTGTAAAATGTAGGTCACATGTTGGCCCACAGCACAGCACAGTGCACACACGGTACATTAACCAACACCAAAAGGTCAAAGAAGAAGAGGAAAAAAAGCTACTTTGTAGACTCTCAGCTTTCATTAGAGAGCATCCAAATTCAAATTGGATGAAGGGTTTAGGAGTTTCAGCTCCTTCACATGTGCCACACCCCCCCTTTTTTTTTTAAACGGACCAAAAGTAATTGGACAGTTGACTCAAAGGCTGTTTCATGTGAAGGTGTGGGCTATTCTTTTTCATTATGTCAATTATGCTCAATTAACCAGATAAAGGCCTGGAGTTGATTTGAGGTGTGGTGCTTGTATTTGGAAGATTTTGACAACATGCGTTGAAGAAGCTCTCCATGCAGGTGAAACGAGCCATACTTAAGCTGTGAGAACAGAAAAACATCCCAGAAATCGGCACAAGTTACAGTTTGGTCCATCCTGAGAGATGCACCGTCTACAGCAGGGAGGGAAACATCCTGCTGAAGAAACAAGTGCAGCTGAAACTGAGAGGTCAGTGCTGTAGATACAGGTCAAAGGTCAGAGGTCAGTGCTGTAGATACAGGTCAAAGGTCAGAGGTCAGTGCTGTAGATACAGGTCAAAGGTCAGAGGTCAGTGCTGTAGATACAGGTCAAAGGTCAGAGGTCAGTGCTGTAGATACAGGTTTTTGTTTGTATTTTCTGTCACACTTACCCAAATGGAAAAAGTCATAATAGAGTTACTGAATCATCAAGGTGCATGTACGAGATTTAGTTTGAAAGGTAACATGTTGTAGTGTAGAAATATTTGTGTGGACGGTCCAAATGTGAAAGGACAAAAACCTTTCTGAACAGGTGAAGAAAGTCATAGAGTAAACCTTTTAAGAAATCAGAGCTCTGGGGGCAAAAACATTAAAGAAAATGTGAACAACAAAATATAAAAATAGTATCTAAAAATCCAGCTCTGAGTAAAGCAGTTCAAACCCACACACTTCATTAAAAGCTTTCCATGTCTGCTCCATCCTACTTTCTTTGATCTCGATGAAAGATTTAGTGAGCTCAAGGAACAGTGGGTAGGAGAGTTGCTGAGGAAAAGAGAAGAGTCCTGTTGTGAGAACTGGAACAACGTTACTCTCGTCTCTCCTTAACGATGTGACGCTGTGTTAAAACTACAATGTGCAGACAATGGACTACAGAACATCTTACTTCACCACAGCCTGTTCTAACCCTGCGGTTTTATGCAGGTCATGTTAACAGGAGGAGCCGCTGAAAAATCTCCTTTCATTACAAAGTATGAACTTTTTAAAGAAGGAGCATTTAGGGCCACGTTTACTGACATCTGCAGCAGCACAACGACACACAGCAGCCTCTTACACCATCTGGAGACGAGTGATGGAGCAACCACTAACCCCACGTAAAGAGCGTCACAGTGATCCAGCAGAGTGACCACAGTGTGGACTACTGTCTCAAAGTGCTGCCTGAAAGAATCGCTTAAGTTTGACCGGCTGAGTTAATTAGAATAAACGATGTAACGACAGACCTGATCTGACTGCAAAGCTTCACATCAGTCTCCACTTTAACCTCGAGGTTTGTGATAGTTGGTTTGATATGCTGGACCAAGAAACCCAGATCCACAGAGGCTGCTGCCAAAACCATCACTGCTGTCTATGTGAGAGTCGTCCAGACCTTTGTCATCAAGACTCTCGAGCAACAGTCTAACAGAGTATGTGTCATTGTTTTTAATAGGGACATAACTCTGACTGTCATCCACATAACAGATGAAGTATGAAACCAAGTGGGAGCAAATAGAGACAGAAGGGGCCTAAAACTGAGCCCTGTGTGGTTCATCTATAATCAGTCATGTCTGAGTCACA